GGCGCAGGATAGAGCAGGGTTTAGAGCTGTTGTGCATAGGGTCGCTATGAGTCGGAAACGACTCAATGGCACATAACAACAACAACAACAACAATCCATAATGAAGGCTATATCTCTGATCCTATGCAAACAAACACCTTAGAACCTCCTCAATTTCAGCAAGCAACGTTATGTCATCTGCCTAACACAAGTTAATGTTGAGTCTTTCTCCTATCCTAACACCACAATCTTCTTCACAGAGTCCACCTTCACAGAAGATTTGTTCAGTATACAGATTGAATACAGAGGAACGAACAACCCTGTCACACTTTCTTGATTTTATCCATGCAGTGTTCCCTTGTTATGTTTGGACAACAGCTTCTTGGCGTAGATATAGGTTTTGTATGAGTATAATTAAATGCTCTAGCATTTCCATTCTTCTCAATGTTAACCATAGTTTATTATGATACACACAATTAAACGCCTTAGCAGAGTCAATAAAATTCAGAGAGAAACACTTATGGTATTCTCTGCTTTCCGCCAAGCTACATGTTACACCAGCAATGACATCGCTGGTGTGACAGCTGCTTCTAAGTCCAGCCATTTCCTAATGATGTGCTGTTCTAGCAGTTTTTTAATGATCTTCAGTAAGACTTTACTTGCATGTGAAAATGTTTGGTAATTTCCACATTCTGTTGAATCTGGACTCTGTTGGGGAGGGGATTAAATATGGATCTGTTTTAGGCAGTTAGATAGGTAGCTGTCTTCCAAATTTTCAAGCACAGACTCTTAAGCACATCCAAGGCTGCAAGTACTTGTTGAAACATATCAACTGATATCCCATCATTTCCTGGGGACCTATTTTTTGCCCATGCTTCCAGTGAAGCTTGAATTTCTTTATTCATTATCATTAGTTCGTGATCATAATCCAGCTTCTCAAATGATGCGCTGAGCATACAGGCGGAAAAGCTATATGGAAAGGATATAATCGTGACACACACCTTTCCTGATTTTAAACCATGTAGTAGGTAATCCTTAATTGCTGGTGCTGAGAACAAAAATCAGTATTACTTGTATAGGGAATAACCAAGAATTATGTATAAAACACAATGAAAATGTCTACTATTTACTAATCAAGCAATTCCACATCTAAGAATTTAATCCAATACAACCAAAATGAAAAATTATCATTACAGCAACAGAAAAATTTTTTTAAAAACCTCTGAAAAATTGATTAAAAATACTAGTGTATATACACATAATTTGTTTACTATGATTAGCAATTTCTGAAAAACTAAGCAAAAAATGTAAATACAAAAGATAATTATAGTGTAAGGTTGTGTGTATTTAAAACAGTATTAAAAAGCAAAAAATCTAAGATAAACAGTAATTTAACACAGCATGATGGAATTACCTAACATGATAGAATTATCTTTGCCTATCAATACATGTCATTTAAATACACAGAATACAAATACTGGTTTTAAAAAGTATGAAAAAGAAAAATATTACCATTTAAACCATATACAATACTACACTCTCATATAGTAAGAGAGTCACAAGTAAATGTCCATGTGTACATACAAAGATTAAAGACTAAGAAATAATTTCCTAACCAAAAACCAAGAAAATGATATCCAGAACACAACAGAGAACTTCATCATAGTTCTCAGAATATAACAGACATTCATTAAAGGACAGGTATTATTTCTCGTTTAGCTCCCATTTTTATTAAGCACACGCAGACAACTACCTCAATTCTACCTTTTACACATGTATACTGGCCTAAGCAAAGGCAAGAGAATAGTGGTTTCTATTTTATTTCTTGTGTCAGCCATTTGTAGTTTGAGAATGAAGCTAGCTATTCATGAACAATAAGAATATGGTTACAATTCTCTGAAAATCTGATCTAGTCTATTGAAAAGAAGGAAGGAGATGTGATATACTTGAAATTCAGGAGAACTATGGGATACAAAAAACCCTGCCTCTAGATGGAAGTTGAGTGTTAATGCTGTGATATTAGAAAACCTGCCCTAATCCTCCCTCACTGGGACTTCCGCCTGTCACTACAGCAATAAAAAGAGCTAACAAAACATTAACCATCCAATAAGCCAGTTCCTACAGCACTCAACATTCTTGATTGTCCTGGGTTTTTACCCAGGCAACGAAATGCTTCTACTTTAGAGGAGTTAGTTCCTTTAGTACTAGGGCTAATAAATGCATACAATTGACAGAATTTTTAAACAGCGGGGAGTATAATGCTCTTTGTATATAAGAACTATTTGATTCTAAAAAGTCCCAGTTTTGATTCACAAAAAACAAAAACAAAACTCAAGCACAAACCACCCCTGGCTTAGCAAATGTGGGCTTTTCTAGTTTTAATAGACACACCTCTATTTAAAAGAAAAATGTCTTTCTCAAGAAAAAATAATGCAGTCAATCTCTAATAACTTACTTAAAGCTATTTGATCTTGTGATGAGTACATTTTTTATATATGTTGCTTTTTATACAATGGACTTTTTAAAATTTTCTTCTCACTTAAAATAACACACAATTCATGACATCAGTCCTTCAGCAGTCACTCTGTCTCCTAAACTTCTATCGTGAGGAAAAACATACACCTGTCAAAGTGTTAGGTGTGGTCAACAACTTACTCATGTTCATTGATATAAAGCTCTGCAAGTTCATGCCAGGCCTCCTGGTCTCTAACAAATCTGATGAGAGAGAAAGGAGGGAAAAGAGAGTTAGTATGTGTATCCTATAAATGAACAGCATGGCGGTACAAAGGAAAATCAAATGCAAATTCCATTTTAATTAAAAAAGATTTATCAGAATAACAAAACACAATCCTCTTGTAAAACACTCACTGTTCAAGATACTCATTCAGCTCCCGAATGGCCTCCACATTTTTCCCCTGGGCTTTTCGAATGGCAATCTTACGCTTTCTTGCAGCCTACGGGTTGACATTAATAAAGGATTAGGCCTCTCATGATTCCCTGAGTTTTTGTAAAGAAGGTAATTTGACTGTGCAAATTATTATCTCAATGCCAGTGAAATTCCATTGTCGAGCAACCGCTTATTTGGAAGTGTATAAACACACCCCATGACATCCCACTGGGGAATTCAAACATTCCTCTAACAATCACGTATGATTTACTTTTGATGCACACAATGTATGCATCTTTTCATCCAAATAAATAACCCATCCAGATTCTAATAATTACAAGCCAGCAGGGAATCCTAATCTTTATCCCGCCTAAAGTCCTTTACTCTGTGCCATTCACAAGATCTGTATCTCAGCCATAGCTGGACAGTGGAAACTGGGGGGTAGATTAGGGGGTGGGAGAGATCCGTGGCCACAAAACAAAAATGGCTTCTAACAACTTTTTCATAATTTATAAACAAAAATGGCTTCTAACAACTTTTTCATAATTTATAAAGAGACTTTCAGCTATCAAGCTTTCAAACAAACTCTAAAATACTCTAAAAGAACTGTTTTCTAGTGGACAAAATATTTAAAACCTGAATTTTAAAGTTTTCAAATAATAGTATAAAAAATAATTTATCTATTTGTTCATTAAATATATACAGAACAAATATGCACTGAATATAAACTGGCAGGTACTGAAATAGATAATATATAGAATGGATAAAGGAGAGAGACTTGCAGGTCAGTTTCACAATGGGGAAGAAAAAAACAAAGCATGAAATAAAATCAATGATGTGAGAAAAACAGTGATAGAGATGCCCAGGATGCTGCCACACATGGAGGACAGGCTAGCACAAGAGGCACCCAAAACAGGTCGGGGGAAGCTGAGGGCAGGAAATAAAAAGGATCCAAAGTATAGTCACCAGCACACAGGGTCACTGTCAGTCAGAAGAAACTCAATGACACAATTACATATATATAATAAGTATAAAACTAATATTTAATAAGTGTTATTTTTCTTTTTCTCCTTAAGTTTATGGTCAACATCTGTGTTTTAATTATGAGATCTTTAAGGATTGGCAACAGTGAGGTTGATTTGGTAATGATGTCTTATCTTGATACCTGCAGGATTTCTACCAGATGGGGGGAAGTGTGAGTGTGTGTGTGTGTGTGCGCGCGCGTAGAGTGCAAAAGACTTTGTTTAAGATGCAATATAGTGGGCAAAAAAATATTTTTTAAATT